ATTGGTCGAGGGAATTGAAAGTGGGAAATGTTTGCAGTGGATTAGGTCATGCTTTTCCGTTGTGAAAGATTTGAGATCAGAATTAGTGCTTAGTCATCCGCTGTATCATGCTTGGTTGGAGGTTTGTGGACGAATTATCAGGTGAAAGATTCTTGATATTTTAGCAGTGGGATTTTCCGGTTTGGGAGGGGAATTGTGAGCAGATGAAAGAGTAGAGGATGGAGTGGAGAAGTGATAAAACGGTTCAAGTTACCACGAGATTTAGGCTGAATTTTTTAGGAATATCTCGGAATCTAAGGGAGATGACGTAATTTTTGTAATGACCTTTTTTGCAGAGCGAATGGAGGGCTACAAACATGTTCTTGGAGAAATTTTGCTATCTCCCGTAGATTTGAAGATATTCATTGAAAACTGACCAATTCAAAATTGACGTGAACAGTTTTACCGCTTCGCTTCTGAATGATTTTAGTGGGATACTGAATATTCAGGTTAATTGTGTAGGGAATGTGAAACTTCGGTGATTTCATGGAATGATGAGACAGATTTGTGAAGAAAGTTTTTATTTTTCAAGAGAAATTCATGAAATTGCACTTTGTTTTACTGAATTTAAGCGAAAATGCAATGCACAGGTGGATATTTTTGTCGAACGCCAGTTCCCCGGTAATTTCACTAATTTCCATAATTAAAAATTTAGTTTGATGAAGGAATCGATGGAAATTGTACAATTTCGTACTTAATATTCATTTTTTTACTGAAAATTCAACGAAGTTGGGAAATTTTAATTTTCTGCAACGAAAAAAATTAAGAATTCCATGAAATTTTCACAGAAATTTTTAATTTCACAATTTTTCCTAGAAAATATTAAATTAAAATTAAATTGAATTTTTTCCTTCGTGAATCAATGCAATAGATAATTTTAAAGAATCAACTAAAATCGGCAGGTTCATAGAAATTTCAAATTTTCATAATTTTTCATTGAAAATTTCAGTTGTAAATTTTATTGAGAAAGTAATAGAATGGAAAAATAAAAAAATTCACATGTGAATGGACTTTTTCATCTTTGATTCGTCAATGTCTCCTTCCAACAGGTTCAATATTTTATGTGTTTCGGT